TTTTTATTTTTTTATAAACTTTTTTTTTTTTTTTTTTTTTTTAGTTTTACTGTGTTTTCAAGAATTAATAAAGAAAAATATATGGAGAATGCTACAGAAATAGCATGGTTCAAGTCCATGGCCAACATAATGCATAGCAATAATCTATACCAACATTTCTGTTCTCAAAATATGGTTTAGATTTGAGCATTTTTTTTGGTAATCATTTGTACTGTCTTCATTACGATCTTAGTCAGTCAAAGGATGCTTATAAAAAATCAACACAGTCTTGGGAATAGAAATGGAAAAATATGAGATGCCCAGTTAAAGCTGAATTTCAGATAAACAGTGAATAATTTTTAGTATCGATGTATCCCAGTATTATGATTTTTTTTTTGTATAAGTATGTACCAAATATTGTATAGAACATACCTGTAAAATTATTCATGTTTTATCAGAAATTCAACTCTAATTGAGCATCCTGTATTTAATCTGGCAGCTCTTCTTGGGAAGTACCACAGTAGTTAAATGAACATAGACACAGATGCCAAACAAACAACCCAAGGTGGTTCTGGTTACCAAAGCAGCTGTGTAGCCCTGGACATGTCACTTAACCTACCTGAACCTGAGTTTCATCATCTTTAAAGTGAGAACAAATAATACCTACTTTACAGGCTTTTTATAAAGATTAGAAATTTTATGTATTTAAAACACCTGGCACATAATAGGTTTCCATTAAAGAGTACCTGTTATGATCAGAACAAGAAAGAAATACAAACCAGTTTTTTTTTTTTTTCCATCTTAGTAAACTTATAGTGAGAATCTCTAATGACAGCACTGAGCAGCTAAACAACACATTAGACTGAGATCTTGCTGACTGTTTACTAGATCCGAGCTTTGGCCAGTAACAAAATGTATACAAAACTTAACCTCCTTCTCTCCTCTGCTACTTGCCTCCTCTCATGTTACTTACCAAAGATCATACAGTTTATTCGTATCAGTGCGTGAATATATGATGCCTTTTTACATTGTCTTTTTTCCCTAGAGCTGTAATTTTATTTTAACCCTGCCTTTCTCAGACATCTATTTTTTGTGCTATTAATTTTTATTAAGATATAGTTTACATATTATCAAATTCACCATTTTAATGCATACAATTAAGTGGTTATTAGTATATTCACAGAGTTATGCAACCATCACCACTATCTAATTCCAGAACATTTTCATCAGCTCCAAAAGGAAACCCCATGTTCTTTGGCATTTATTTCCCCTTCCTCCCTCCCCCACCCCCTCCCAACCATTAATCCACATTCTGTCTCTATGGATTTGTCTCTTCTAGACATTACATATAAATGGAATCATACAATATGTGACCTTTTGTGTCTGGCTTCTTTCACTTAGCATATTTTTGAGGTTCATCCATGTTTTAGCGTGGTTTAATAATATTCAGTTGTATGGATATAACCACATTTTGTTTATCCATTCATCATTTGATGGACATTTGGGTTGTTTCTAATTTTTGGCTATTAGGAATAATGCTACTATGAACATACTTGTACAAGTTTTTGTATGAAGTGTATTTTCTTTTCCCTTGGGTATGTACCTAGGATTTGAATTGTTGGGTCATATGGTAACTCTATGTTTAGCATTTTGAGGGATTGTGACACTGTTTTCCAAAATGGTCACCATTTTATATTCACATCAGCAATGTACAGAGTTCCATTTTCTCCACATCCTTGCTTGTTATTATCTGCTTTTTTTTTAAAGTAGTCATCTTAGTGGGTGTGAAGTGGCACCTCATTGTGGTTTTGATTTGCATTTCCCTGGTGATTAATGAAATTGAGCATCTTTTCATGTTCCTGTTGGAAAAATATCTATTCAAATCCTTTGTCCATTTTAATTGGGTTGTCTTTTTATTGTTGAACTCTATATATTCTTTTTATATTCTCATCAGATATATGATTTGCCTGTGGGTTGTTGCTTCACTTTCTTGACAGTGTCTTTTGATGAACAAAACTTTTTAATTTTGATGAAGTCTTATTTATCTATTTTTAATTTGGTTGTTTGTGCTTTTGGTATCACATCCACGTTGTCTTTTCTTCCTTGAGGAAAAAAATGAACACTAACCCAGGAGTGAAAAAATATGGGTTCTCTTCCCAACCTTGTAATTACATAAACATATGACCTTAGGCAAGTATTTAAATTCATCAGAACTCAGTTTCCACATCTAAAAAAGGAAGCTTGGTTCAGAAGAGTAGGCACTGTGTAGTTTTTTGTGAATAAATTATCCTTATGAAACCCCCTATGTTAGTAGTTCTCAACCTGGGGCAGTTTTGCCCTCCAGGTAACATTTGGCAATCTCTGGAGACATTTTTGGTTGTTACAACTGGGGAGGGATGCTATTGGCATCTAGTGGGTAGAAGCCAGGGGTGCTGCTAGACATCATACAATGCACAGGACAGCACCCACCGCAGAGAATGATCTAGGCCAGAATGACAATAGTGGTTGAGAAGCACTGCTCTAAAATTATAATTCTAGTATTCCAGTTTATTTTATTTTATCTTATTTTTTCCATTTTATCTTAAGTGGTAGTTTTTTAATTTGTCTGCCATAGCCAGATAGTTTTGTGTTCTTAGCCCATTGCTTGGGGTATTAGCCTAATGAGGATAGTAGTAGGGAGAGGTACCAGTGAAGGTAAAAGCGTTTAGATGTTGTAGGATGAATTCAGTTCTTGCAAGTCAGGAGATTTTGGGATGTGTTTTTAGGGCTATTTTAAACTATTGTGTCTTTTAACATGAAGAAAAAAATATCTCAATATAGACTCCTCCGGGCAAAGCCTTGTAGATGTATTCTTCTTATTAAGTCTTTTTCTTTAGGGTTTCCAGAGCAAAATAGTTTTTTTTGAAGTAGTTTGTACATGCTATGAAGTATATCTAATCAATCATAATAGGAAAAAAAAAAAAAAAAACAGAACAACCTGATGGAAGGGATTTGCAGTTGATATGTCTCTATTATTAGTGACTTGTTCAGACAATAATATTTCAAAAGAAGTTGATATTATTATTCCAGCTGATCACTGTACCTCAACTTTTTCTAATACCATCTACTAGAAAATACTTATTTACTTGAGTTCCACACATAATCTATCCAAAATAAAACAGACAATAGCTTGAAATATGTTTTGGCATTTCTAAAGGTCTTGGCATGTAAAAAAAACAATTAAACTTGCAGGTATTTCTTTTCTGTGATAATGTTGCTGATTGTTTCATGCCCTGTATTATTAGATTTAATCATTACCACAAGCACTACAGCTGCCATCATCATCATCATGGACTAAAATTTCTTAATTGTAATATATCAGACTCTGTTTTAAGCACTTAATGTGCATATCTCATGTTTTCTCACACAAATCCTAAGGTAGTTTTTTTTTTTTAAATCTCCATTTTGCAGATAACAGAAAAATGTACAAGAAAGTGGTGAAGTATTTGCTGAGTCATTTCTATAATAAGCCTTTTCTTGTATATCAAAACTATTTCATATTTTTTCTTTTCTTTTTTTTTTTTTTTGTCTTTTTCCGTGTCCGGCAAAGGTTCGCAACCCTCAGTGTCGCCCCCGCGCCTCGCTCAGCCAGTGAGCGGGAACCGGTCTGTATGTGGGATCCGAACCCTCGACGGGAGCGCCGCCGCGCTTCCCAAGCGGCGCACTAGCGCAGTGCGCCACTGGGCCGGCCCAAAACTATTTCATATTTTAACAATGGAGAAAGTATGTTTATTGGTAAATCTATAACATCGATGTCCCTAATTTTCTGGCACCCTAGGTAATGGCCCTCGAAGACTGAGTTATTTCTATTTCTTTTCAAGAAGAGATGTCTTAAGATTAATTATTTGTCTCTCTAAAAAGTATGTGCATATGGCTAGCCTGTTGGTTAGCTCAGTTGGTTAACAACGCCAAGGTCTAGGGTTCAGATCCTCTTACCAGCCAGACACCAAAAAAAAAAACCCAAAATGAAAAAAAAGTATATGCATGTATCTTGATGCTGTTATAACACCTTCCTATCTCTGCATAATTATATAATTTAAAAACTTCACAACTTCTCCATCATATAAGTAATGGAAGTGTTTTTGTTTAACTTTACAGGAAGCAGTAAAAGAAAACAATAAGAGAAGAGAAATGGAAGAGAAGTCTAGGAGGGCAAAGCTTGCAAAAGAGAAAGCTGAACAAGAAAAATTAGAACGCCAGAAGAAAAAGAAACAACTCATTGATATAAGCAAAGGTATGAAAGTATTTCCAATTTTTTAAAAGATGCATAAAGTACAAAATAATTGCACTTCTTTATTTTTGGATTATAAAGTAAATAACTGTGTTCTTAGTAGAAATTTCACAATATTATTAGTTACTCGTGTCACATTTTTCTTGGTGTACTATCTGTATTTCTTATCACCCTACACTGAGCATTCAAGAATTTTGATAACCAATGAAAGGTGGTATGTTGTTGAAATAGTCTTTTTCTCCTCATTTATTTTACCATTTTATATTATGTTCTGGATGAAGCAGTGGTGAGGAAAGAAGAGGGTTCGAGATGAAAAGTGAGAAACTGGTATAGGAAGAGGAACTTTAGCCCTTAATTTCATTTTGTTGGCACATGTCTGTTGACAGTGCAGTAACAATTAACAGTCTTCCTTGGGGGCTTGAACATTTCAAGTCATAATAGATATCAACAGCACTATTACGAGTTGAAAAAGTAGAGAGGCATCTTGTTCAGCGGTGAGCCTAAGTACAAAATGCTGGTATATCCACATAGTGTAGAGTAAGGTGTTTTCTTGGTTAGCAAGAATAACTGTCTGTCATAGGTGGGTTGTTTAATTCGGTTTCGTTTTAAAGAAGAGAGGGCAAAAGAAGAAAGTGATTGGTACCAACTATCTGCACTCTGAAAATTTAAGAATGAAAAAGCATAGCCTTTGCCACCTAAGGGTTAGAGAATCTGAAAACAAAACAAAAAATCTGAACAAGATACAAGGTAATATGATTGATACAGACCATCTATTAGTGAAGATAATACTAGTAAAAATTGCAAATACTTTATAATGTCTATATATGCCATATGCCAAGCATTCTTCCAAGACTTTTACATATTTTAAATCAATCCTCACAACGTCTCTATGAGGCAGATACTATTATTATTTCACTTTACAGATAGAAAACTGAGGCTAATAGAAATTCATGAACTTCAATTGTCATCCTAAACTTTTTCTTTAGGATGTTTTCTTTTCTGGTCAACTCTTCATGGCCTTAAGTAAGAGAGCAGAGAGTAGGCAATATCGAAATCTGAAACGAGAGAAAAAGTTAACTTCTTCCATTAATCCTTCCACAAGCTACCAATCATTAACCAAACTGGCTTGTTCTATTTCAGGCCCTCTCTCTGGTCCTCTTACTGTCTAGTAGAAGTCTAAGCATATAAACAAATTATTGGGCCGGCCCCGTGGCGCACTCGTGAGAGTATGGCACTGGGAGCCCAGCAGCGCTCCTGCCGCGGGTTCGGATCCTATATAGGGATGGCCAGTGCGCTCACTGGCTGAGCGCGGCCGGTCACAAAAAAAAAAAAAAAGAAAAAGAAAAAGAAATTAAAGCAGGCATGAGTAAGGAGAAACACATTTTTTAAAAAAGAGAGGGACTTTTTCATACAAAGTGCATAATCAGTGCAGTATCTGACTCAAGATGAAAACTTGAAGAGACTGAACAAGGCAATTAAGGGGAAGGGTGCACGTGGCTAAAAACAGGTTTTCTCCCCATGATGTTCTTTCTCTTCCATCCCCACAGTACAACTTTACCCTGTCGGGTGCATCTATCCTACTATTGTTGTGTTTTGTAGTTTGTGGTATTTCAAAATCATTTATTCTTACTGTTAAATCATTGTGTGATGAATATGTTCCTGTAGAGAAGTAGCCATAATCTTAAAAGAAAAAAGTCTGTTCTATTGCATAATAATGTTCATATTTTCTGTCTTGACTACCACACAAGAATAAATGGTGTAAATATCTAAATGAATGAATGAATGAATGAATGAATGAATGAATGAATGAAAAAGAAATTAAGGAACTTTCCCAAAGTCACACAGAGGAAATATTAGCATGAAGATCGGAATCCAGGTAGTCTGGCTATAGAATCTTTGCACTTATCCATGCCACTCTCAAAATAATAATAATTATTATTATAACAACAACAACAACAACAACAACAAACATGCACCACTTACTATGTACCAAGAACTATTCTATGAATTTTCCATTTATGACCCCATTTAATCCTTGTAAAACCCTATTAGGAAAGTGCTACTATCTCATTTTAAAATGAGGAAACTGAGGCACAGAGAAGTTAAGTAACTTGTCCAAGGTCATAAAGATAATAAGAGGTAGAACCAAGATTTGAATACAGGCAGTCTGTGACCAGAGTTAATTATTAATTATTATTAGGTGTTTTAAATTATAATTGTTAATTATCATCATTGATCATTATCAAGTATTCTTCAATAATGTCTCTTAATGGCTCATCTTCTGAAATGATATCTATACCATTAAGTTTATTGTTCATAATTTTTAAATATATACAAATTTTTAGGAATTAACTATAGTTTATCTCTCCTACCCAGGAAATAAATATAATTTTAGGAGAAGGAAAAAAGTAACATTATATAAACAGCTGATGTAAAATAGAGCAGTATTAACAGAATTTAGCAAACAAATTTCATAAGTAGGGTCAAGAGAACTGGTCTAGACTGAAGGTCACTCAGTTAGGAGGTAAGTACTAGAGCACAGCATGGCAATGTGTATTTGTAGGAAGTTATTACTTAAAAGGGATGAAGTCAATATAAAAATACTGAAAGTTAGCTCCCTTATGTGAATGGAGGAGTAGTGTGAGAAGAGAATGGAAGAGGTAGTAGGGGACAGATTATGAGCTAGCTAGCTTTCTTTCTTTTTTTCATTTAAACAAAGAAGGTTTATTTGAGCACTAGTTAGGACTGCAAGCTGGGAGACACAGGTCCCAGAAGTCTCCAGCATGTGCTCCCTGTGAGCTTTCTTTTGTGCTGTGCTTTCATGTCTTACCCTGAAAGCTATGGGAAACCTATGGATGTTTATAAACTGGAAAGTGATATACTCAGGTAGGTTTCTTAGAATGATGATTTTGACAAAAGCAGAAAGAATGAATTGGAAGGGGAAAGGCCCGAGACAACAGAGGTCTCAACCCATTTTCACTAAAAAATTATTTTTATTTATTTATTTATTTTTTTAAAAGATGACTGGTAAGGGGATCTCAACCCTTGGCTTGGTGTTGTCAACACCATGCTCAGCTAGTGAGCCAACCAGCCATCCCTATATAGGATCCGAACCCGTGGCCTTGGTGTTATCAGCACCGCACTCTCCCGAGTGAGCCACGGGCTGGCCCTTCACTAAAAAATTATTGACAACCCTAAATATCTTTTGTTTATGTAGGTTTTTTTATATTGACATTTCGTGGCCTTGGTGTACCCTTGGCTTGGTGTTGTCAACACCATGCTCAGCTAGTGAGCCAACCAGCCATCCCTATATAGGATCCGAACCCGTGGCCTTGGTGTTATCAGCACCGCACTCTCCCGAGTGAGCCACGGGCTGGCCCTTCACTAAAAAATTATTGACAACCCTAAATATCTTTTGTTTATGTAGGTTTTTTTATATTGACATTTATCATATTAGAATTAAAACTGGGATAATTTTTAAATTATTCATTCAGTTAAGATAATAATAGTAAGTCTATTACGTGTTAAATAACATTTTTTTATGAAAAGTAATTATATTTTCCAAAACAAAAAATAGTGAGAAGAAAATTAGTGTTTATAATTTTCTTCAAAGTCTGGCTTTATAAAAGACAGCTTGATTCTCATACCTGCTTCTGTGTTCAATCTAATGTAATATTATTTGTCATGTAGCTTTTGGAAAACTCCACTATACACTCATGAAAGAATGAGAGAGAAAAATGCAAAAAAAGTGTCAGTATTATTATGAAAACAGTTTTGACCTTGTAGATCCCCTGAAATGATCTCAGGTGCCGTCAGGAGTCCCCAGTCCACACTTTGAGAATCTCTAGGGAGAACGGTGAAAAGAGGTGCAGTCTATCCAGTTTTATGCCAAGAACATAATCTTTCTCCCATACCACACCAATTTCCACCCACCCCCAAGTGTTTATCGACCTTTCACTATTTCCCTAAACATATACCTATAACAGGAAAAAAAGAAACAAGGAAAGGACCTATTTTGATTGTGTCTATAGTCTGTATTTTCATTTGCCAAGATTCAGTTAATTACCTCTTCGAATGTCATTGAAACCATAGGATAAATATCTAAATAAGTTTTTGTGCATATGCTCAGCTGAGTGATTTGAACATGAAACACACATTTTTAAATTGGATTTTCCTTTTATGCATTGTTATCATAGCTCTATTTACACATCAGTCAAATAGTAAACTGCACCATTAGCTTCTTGATTTGTGGCCCATATGTTGCAAATATTTATTATTATTACTACTTATTGTGATATTATTTTACACTTGGAGTATATGTGCGTTAGTACTTACAAATATGGTTCAAAAAGAGATGCTTCCATTGGAAGTGTGTAGCCTTAATTAAGAAGATGAGAAGATGTAGAAAAGACAGAATAAGAAGAACAGAGTCAGGTGTCAAGATGGAGCTCAGTGTCCATGAGTTTCTCAGACAGTGTCTTATGAAAGATGCTGTTGTTGATGAGATGGCAGGCAATTGCAGACATTCTGAGAGCTGAGAGGAAGCATGGTGGAGACACATCAAATGTGAATCCATGAGGTGTGAAAGCCTATGGAGGATGTGAATGAGGTGTGGTCAGAAAGAGATGCATAGAACTTTAAATGCATCCAATTAGAGTGCTGTAATCTTCCTTTCCACTGAAAGAGAGATGATATAGAACATCTGATTGCCATCATGAGATGTTATATATAAAGTGTAGAGTGATTTCATGCATGTATGACTAGACATACATGCCATTGGAAACAGAGGATCTTACCTATACCCAAAGTATTAGAGTCCCTTGGGTAAAGTAAGTCACACTGGAAATGACAAACAACTTTAAAAAGACATGTACTTTTTCTGTAAAGTTTCCATATCATATTGTAGTGGGCCGAATGTCCCCCCAAACTCACTGAAGCTTGAATTGTGTCCCCCAGGTTTGATGTATTAGAAACATGGCCCCCACTGTGACTGTTAGGAGGGT